GCAATGGGCATGGATGAGTGCACAGGCATAGTTGGCATAAGTTGCCTGCCTGCTATGCTTCAATTGGTTTTGGAGTTTGAACCAAGACCGCTTCAATCGAGTGGAATTGCTGCAACGAATCCCAGCAGAGACTGGAATCGGCCACCTTTCCACGGAGCAACGTCTGAATGGAGAAACGATTGCGCTATATTCGCTAAATTGCCATTTGCGAGGAGCTTTGATCCTTTTATAGCTCTATTGTCCTCCCTTGGTCAATAAAAAGTTGTTTGGATTTGTCTCCACTAGCTCGACAAAGGCCCTACTTTGTGGAAGCTGGTGCTTTCGGAGTTCGCTGGCTACAGCTGGTGGGGATGCTGCATTGTGTGCAGGCAGGCGATCAGATGGCAACAACTAGCACAGATGGCAGGCCATTTGACCGCGCCCCGACAAAGTCCCCAGACTATGGGCCCTGACCTAGATAGGTCACGTAGGGCCCATCCCTTTCGCACAGTACTTGACACACAGTGCACCAGCCGTGTTGCAATTGATTCCTTTTTCCATTCGGTCTCCGCGTTGTTTGTTTTGCACGGTTTCTTGCTAGTCAGTACGCTAAAAGCATGGCTTCTTCAAAGGAGGCTCTTGCATGCTCTTGCTGTGCGCCTGGCTACACCGTAGCCCGTGCGGCCCGTGTTGTTCTTTGGTTGCGGAAACGTGTGATGTGTAGTGAGTTAAAGAAATGTCCGTGAGCCCAAAACAACTCAAAAGTGACTCCAACCATCTCCAACCAGTTTTTGCGTCGATGCCATCTCTTGGCAATTGGCTGTTTAACTTCCTCTTTACAACTACTTCTCGCTCAATGTATATATGGAGCCAAGCGACAGAATTTAGCACGATTTTGTTCTTTGATAGTAGGTGGTCTAAAACCTGCATCGCGCAAGGTTAGCGCAAGGCCATCCCAAGGTTTTGCACAAGGGCTATTTATATATATATATACACGTCAAACACATTTATATGAAATGCTTGGTTACCGGATGTTACCGGCTTGTGTTGTAGAGGGGAACTGAAACTGAAACTAGGGGTGGGTAGTGGATTGGGTCTAAGACTCTAAGAACGCTTTCTTGTCTCCACCGCACGAATGCAGTGCGACATGCGGCAGTATTGTAGAAGAGAACTGGATCGAATTTACGTGCAAGATCCGCGCAAGCGCGAATTTACATAAAGCGTGAGGGGACATGTCGACTTCTTTGAGCCACCTGTTTCAGCCACGGCGCTTCCTGAGATTTGTCTACTAGAGAGGGATTTGACCGGGCCAAGCCATTCCTTTGAGAAGGTAGCCGTGCTGTTGCATGCGTACGTTCACAAAGTGTTATACACCGTCACTCAGAAGTTGCGGGCGTTCAGCATTGATAGACTCTGAAAATTTTGCTGTGGATGTGGAAGCACAATCAGCAAGATGAACTCTTCGCGATAACAGTTTTGCCGCCTAGCTTTAGTTCAACCCAGTCCAAGAAAACCGGGTACTTGCTTTTTTGTTTGTGTTCCCTTGCCACAAGTGATCCATCAAACTTGGATCGAAGAAACCTGGTCCAGCTTCTGTGGGCTTAGTATTGTTTCTGTTTATATTTGTTCCTAGTAGCGTTCTTGTTACTACTAGTAAGGCACCTGTTACTACTAGCGTGGCACCTGTTCCTAATAGCGGGCCTAGTGTCCAGACCAACTTTCCTGTTCATTTGCTCCATCGATTCTGTCAAAACCCCGTCAGTATAACTCCTAATATGGCTTTGGATCAAAAACCGCAACACCCTGGTTGACCACCGAAAAGGAACAACATAATATAGAAGTACTCGATGTCTGTAGTGTTTTCACAAGTTTTTGTGATGCAAATGGTTAATGTTTGCAAGGCAACTGAGATTCCGAAGGCCGCACACGCAAGTCACTGCTTGTGTCCCGGAAGAAGCATGCAAAAGTCAAAAGTATCAGGAAATCAGGCATGTTGAATTGCAAATTGCACGTGTGTGAAGCTGTTTCCACATTTCCGAAACTGGTGAGTAATTAGTAATTGGATGTAGTTGGTCATCCTTACGCCCATCAAAACACAGGCCCCGCGCTTCCATGCGCTTCCCCCTTTAACAAAAAATCCGGTGCCGCGTGTTTTTGAATTGGGGTCCGCAACATGGCTGAACCTCGCAAGATGTAGACCAAAATGCACTTCTTGGAATTGGAGTGTACATCAAGTGGAAGATGTAGCTGAGTAACCTAAAGCCAAATACAGACCCGCGACCGATAGTGAACAAGCATCATGATGGAAAGATGAAAATGTATTTCAATATTATTAATCATAGATTAGATACCCAAGAAATTAGCGTGGCGAAAAAATCCTGCAGCATAGAGTTTGCCCCCCTTGAAGGTTTCCTTCTAAAGATCCCAATGCTTAACAACAGACGTTGATTCTCAGAAGAAACGATACGAAGCAAACGCAGTCAACACGAGAAAAAGCATTGCTGAAAGTAAGCCGACTGCCACCAAATAAGGGACACCCACCAGCAGTTGTTGTCAATGGGTGGCCCCAGTGTATTTGGACACTCCCTGGATTCAAATCTTCCCTAAAGGGCATTGCTAAAATGAAACATGCAACATAGAGAAATTGCCCTTTCCCTTGAATATGTTCTCCCAAAAAAGAACCCGTGAAGTTCCTGGATTGATTTTTTTTTCCTGAATACAAACATAATGTTCTTCTTTGTAAGTCTGAGTGTTGCTTTAGATCTCTAGTCAGTGCCAATGCTTGGCCAGGAATATGGCATTGACTTTTCCACCACGGTGGGAGCATCCATGGCTACTTGACATAATTTGGCATGGCTACTTGATGAAGAAGGACTTGTTCACCTCATCTCACCTCATCTCACCTCTTTGGTCATCCTGAAGCACGGTCGACCCAGTGCGTTTACACGACCTGGGCCTCGAGGTTCCAGTCTTCAACGCATCTGGAGATGTTTTGCTCTTCGAGCGCCTGACCCAACGACTGAAGGGCTGGTCCCGAGGGGAGGCTCTGGGGTGCATGGGGACAGGACGGGAGAACAATTGCCCCTTGTTTATCCATAGAGCCAGCATGAGCCAGCCAAAGGGCAGAAATTCGGCACAGTTGAAAGAACCAATTGCTTATATATATATATAGTGGTTGTGTGTGTGTGGCTTGCTGTGATGTAGCTAATTAAGAAAGTCAAGGATGGGAGCAGCAGATTCCAGCCGCGAGTTCCGGTTTTTGTTCCGGATCCAGTCAGAATGGCTGCATGTGGCGGTCTTCTGCTGCGCAGGTGGTAGTGGCCACATCGCCCAAAGATCCCGACGCAAGAATTTGCCTGTGGCCCAGTGGCCGAGTTGGATACAGCCTAAAAAGAAGCAGAACTCATCCAAGCTCATGAAGCTACTAGGGGCTCCTGGCATCGCTAGTAGGAGCAAGGACACAACTAGGGGCTCCTGGCCGTACTACTAGGAACACGAAGCCATTTAAGAAGCCACTAGTAACAAGAAGCTACTAGCTCTCGAGGCAAACGTATTTTGGGCCTTCCTGGAGACCGGGCTTGGAGCCTCAGAATGTGATACTTTGGGTGCGGATGAGCCATTGGAGTCATGTCATATTTCCAAAACCTGGACACCAGGTCCTCATTTGTTGTTCATTCATTCATTCATTCATTCATTCATTCATTCATTCATTCATTCATTCATTCATTTGTCATACATGTCATGCATTCAAACATGCATACATACGCAAAGTGCATGCATGCATTTCAGACACATTATATCAAGTATTATATATCATATCATTAAATTATATTGAGATATATGTGTGTGTGTCACACTCTGTTTCTAAGAGTTTTCCACAAGCAGGGGGATGGAGAGGACATGTGAGGCTCCATCCAACGAAGCTCCTCACATGATGCTAGGATATCGGCAAGGACGCTTGCCGACGTACCTGCATTTAACTGTTGCTCACGCTGTTCCACTCTCGGTTTGTTTCATGGTGTTTTTTGCATGCTACTCCCACCTAACAGGTTTTAGCCGCCGTCGTTCAGCCGCGTTTCTGCAGACAAGTGAACAATTTGTTCAACATTTCAGTTGCGCTGACCTTTTCACCTTGCGTTTCCCTTATCCCTTTCTACGTGGAACAGAGATAACTGCAAACCCATTGTCTAAGTGTGTGTGTTTGCTTCCGGAATCTTTGTGCCCACCGGCTGTTCTGTTTTGCGGTGCTGCCAGCATTTCTGGCCCAGCCATTTTGGGTTTGATTTATGAGGTCAAAGTTTCGGCCCTGGGCGAGGAGAAAGAGTCGCAGCCCAAGCCTCTTTGTTGTCGCCTGGTTTTCGGCAGCCATCGTTTCGGGCGGACTTGCCAAGGGTGCTGGTGCCTCGCGGGCACGTTTGGCTGGAAGGCGACAACAAGAGTGCTTCACATGACTCGCGGCATTATGGCCCAGTACCTGCCACTCGATTGACACGTGGAGAACACTAGAAAACCCTAATCCTTTCACAGAAGCCTGAGGTGGGTTTGCTTCAAGGAAAGGTGCGGCTAAAGCTGTGGCCACCCTTGGAAATTGGTTGCTCAGCTGAAATGTGTTCGCAAGATTTTGCAAGAATCTTTCCAAAAGGTGCATGTTGTGGAGGCAAAGCAAGATAAGCACGCATCATAAAATATGTGTTTAAGCATGCCTTGGTTGAGGTCGAGTTCGAGTAGTGCCTCCGTGAGTGATAAACGCCTGCCCCCGACAACGAGCAGTGGCATGCGCCAATCGCGGCTGCTGTGAAGGGTGACGTTTGGACATTTCCATGACGTTAAGCCAGGCAAGTGTCAACGCTTATCTCGTGAGGTATTGAAAAAATTCCGAAATACAGTTCGCAATGCACTGTGAGCGACTGTGAGCATCAGAACTTGTCATCCATCCGAGTGTTTTGTTCAGCCTCAGCGATATTTTTAAATATATCTTTGGGGGGGGGCAGGGCGGCAAACAATTGCTTCGAGTTGTCTAGGCGCTGGCACCAAACCTCTTGAGCGAAAGGTTGGGAACCTAAGTTGATTTAATTTGTTTGGTTTGCATTCATCAGTCAGAATTGATGTGTTCAATTGTGTTCATGCAAAACAAGGTCAGGCAAAAATCAGCTGCTCCTGTTGGCTGCGCAGACGATGCAGGAGGTCAGCATGAGGGATCATGAGGGTAAATGTGTGAGTATTTGAAGTTTCTAAGTGCAGTTGAGTGAGAGGAAACAGAAGTTTTGAACAATATCACTGAGATAATTGACGTATCCTTTCGTCAACAGGGGCATGTCATGTCCCACCAAGTCAATCTTGTTGAATCATTTCGATGAGGTTTTCGCCGACGGCGCACCTCAGAACAGTTTCACGGACCTCCAAAGGTTGGACAGGTGAAAGCGAAGATGGGTACAAGATGTACAAGGCTGGCCAGGCTGGGCCGGAAGAGGAGTCCATTCGGGCGAACAAGACCTTCTGGCATCTCCCGACACCGATTGCCAGGCAGATGAGGGCCTCTCGCGCTATTGCCAGGCATCCATGACATCATGACGAACTTAGCAGATGAACTTGGCAGTTCTGAGCATCAGACCCTGCACATTGCTCTTTGTTTCAATGGGGCCAGCGAGACCCAGTGGCCTGGGAAGAGTACGCACTAAACCCATGCATTGATTTGGGGTCTCAGTGTTACAAAGTCTTGCTGCACTTGCAGACTTGAAGGCCTTTGCTGCTGCGGTTGAAAACTTCAAAGGTGCCACTGGGTGTTCAGTGTGTGTTTCGAACAAACCTCAGTTGTTTGACAGAGGAAACGGGTTTCTCTCCACGCCAACGGCTGCTGGAGAGGTTGATACCGCTTCAAGAGAGAGAGAGAGAGAGAGATTGGCACCTGTAGGTAGTATATGCCAAGTCAAATGGATTGCAAGGTTGGCCCGTCTTATATATGTATATACAGTATATATATATGTATATATGCAGCATATAGAAGACGGGCCAACCTTGCAATTTATTATGACGTGTCTTTTTCCTGCAGCTGCTTTGTAGAACCAGCGGGTGGGTCGCGCTTCTTGCCGCGCGGCGGCTGGCCATGGCACGGAGGCGGGGGAAGACCACATGCACCTAAAACCAGGAGCAGCCTGTTTGGGTGTGCAATGGATTACCCTACTCCATTGGACACCCCGGTGTCGGACGCCGCAAAGTCGGAGTGAAATCAATTAGAACACCTGTGCAACCATGATTGAAGGGAGGCCTCAAACAATTTCAACATTCTGAGTACTACTTAGACGATTACTCCTGGTGTATCCATAGTATAAGTTGGTTTCAGGTTGATATTGACTAATGTTGGATGCTGATTAGTAATAGGGCCCTCTATATATAATGCTAAATTATTCAAACATAATTCTTGACACCATATTTGTTTTGAGGGTTCTCTATCATGCTAACTGTTTTTGGGATCCAGGGATCCTCATGTTTATATTAATTATTTGAACAATAACTAGAGTTTTAAATCATTCGGAGATTTGTCAATACTACTAAGCCAATGGCTAGCTTGCTGAGAGTATAGGCTCTAGTTCTTCTTCAAAACTGACAGCTTCCCAAAGCCATCGATTTCTTAATCAATCCTTTATGTAAAGATTGCTCCTAAACAAAATTTCAAGATAGTACACCAGGAAGGCCCCTGATCCTCAATTATAAATATGTAGTTTAAGGATCCTCGATTGTGCAATTGGTTCATCAATAAAAACATGGTCATTCTTGATACTACTAAGCCAATGGCTAGCTTGCTGAGAGTATTGATAAGTATAGGCTTCTCTAGTTTTTTTCTCTAGTTTTTCTTCAAAGCCGCAGAGAACCTGAGAACCTTCTAGTAGTATGAAAGGATTGCTGAGAATTTCCAATTATATACACAGAACCTGAGAAAGGACAATGAATACTACAATCAATTACAAAAGGATTCCTGCCAGGAACCCAGGTTTGTTTCGGAGGTACTTTATGCTGGCGGCGTCATTAACGACCCCGCTGTTTTTGTGCGGTACTTGCGGCACTTTGTAGTTTCGTGTGGTATTTACATGTCATCATAGCCTGTGGGGGGGTGGGGTGGGGTTGGGATGTTAATGTTCAGTTCAAATTGCACACCCATACAGCCGAAACCTTTCTACGCTACGCGCGCAATACGAGTGACTGAGAGTGGGGTGGGGTGGGGTGGGATGTTAACGTTCGGTTCAAATTGCACACCCGTATACAAAAGAAACTCTTCTGCGCTTTGCACACCAATATGTATACACGAAGCGTGCTGTGTTGCGCACACATGTTTTCTCATGTTTTCTCGTACGCATGTTTTCCTGCAAATAACAGTCGAAACGCAGTTCGCAAACCATTAAAAACATCGTTTTCGTGGATCTTTCATGTTCACGAAAGGTAGCCCTTTAGGGGATACCTTGAGTTTGTCTTGCGAAGCAAGTGTTGGGACGTCCGGGTCTAATAATTGATCACTCAATTCAAACCCCCTCCC